CGGTCAACAAAACCTTCTCATTGTGAGAACAAAAATGAGGGAGAAGATCATTCTCGCGGCCAACAGAGTTAACAGCTAATTCAGAATTTTCCACAACTTTCCCACCCTCAAAATCATGAACCTCATTCCCTTTAACAACAACTGTAACTTCAACAAAATTTAACTGAACAGATTGTGCAATTAGAAATATGGTTCTCACATCATGATCATTTTGCAAAATGCAATTTGGATATCTAGGAATAGTGTACAACAGGGCAACACAATCAGAATTCAACCCATTCCAATTGTCACACACCCCATGTAACACATCATCCATTGTGGAATTCATTGCAATTCTTAGCACAACAATATCATAACAATACTTGTAACAAACCAGTAAGTTATCCTCCATCTATTATAAACAATAAAGCAAAAATAAAGGGAAAAACATAGAAAACCAAACATAATCAATTTTAATTCCAACAAATCAGCATCAGTAACATGAAAAAAAAATTAAAACCTAATTTCAAAACAAAAAAAAAATAACTCTAGTAAAGAATGTCGTGATATGAATACCGAAAAATGACATTGAATTTCGACAATAACAAAGGAAAAAAAAAATCAATTCTAATTCCTAAAAAAACACCAACAATAACTCCGATGACAAAATATTGCAATATGAAACTCTGGTAAGTAACATAGAATTTTTGGCAAATGACTACCAATTAACGCTAAAACTATTCAAAACAGTACTGTTATTCATATTATGTAAATCAGCAAATTACAATGAAAATGTCTCAGCAAATAATAATGTTTCAACACAAAGTGGAATCAAGAATCAGCAAGTTGAAGTATAATCACAAAAAAAATGGAATCCAGATGCTGCTTGTATCACCTTCAGGCCTCCATATCAAACGTAGAAGTCTGTTACTCAAATAGTATAACAGACACACAAATTACGCTTGCTTGGGATTTTGAATTTGAATTTTTAATGGAATCTTCTGATCTGAAATTGAGTAACAGACCACTGATTTTAATGTAATTCAAACATAATATATTGATATATACGGTTTCCATAAGAAAGTGATCAGTTTATTACCATATATATCTCAACCATTTAATTTAGGGCTTTCCATAATTGACCAAAGTTAATATCGTTAAGGGTATTTTTGAGATAAAAAAAAAAGTGGACTTAAGTCGATAAATATAATTTTAAAGATGGACTTAACTCCTTATAAGTTCCCTTACCGAACTTATCTCCAAACAAGTACATCTAGGGGGACTCACCCCCAATTTTCACTTTTTTTTAATACAGATGGGCCGGCCCTGGTGGTGAAAGTACTTTGAGCAATGTGGACAGAAGGGCTGCACATGACCTTGAAACCAATCTTGCCAAGCACCATCTATTAAGCAACTCTTCATTCCATTCTTGTACAACAGGTCGATCCATTGATTGTGGTAACTTAGTGGAACATTTGGGTCAGAGTTCTAATGCTGCAATAAGGGAATGGAATCATACTATCATATCCCTTCCTCCTCATCACATGCCAGTAGTCTCAGGTAGGTTAGTCCCAGATTGATTTTCCTTGTGTTATGTTCCTCATAATTTCTCAAAATTCTCGTTTTTCAAATTGTAAATATCAATATTCTCGATCATGAAACAAACCACTTCATTATAGGAAGTAGTAATTATACTCCTTCTCTAGAGTTTGGGGGATATCATAATGATTGCATGTCCTATTTCTCAAAGATTGCAAGGTCCTTCAACTGAGTCTGTGAAAAGGTGTTCGAAGTAGCCATACTCAAAGATCTACCCCAACTTTCAGGTCTTCTTCAATTCATAGTTGTTTTCAATTAGTTATAATTCTATAACTATATAAGAGAAAGAACTCGGAGTAGTTGGCGTCTGCTTACCTGCTTACCAAATGAGACCGACAAACTCTTCCACATCGATTAGTCTTTTTAACGCTATGGAATTTTCAACAATGTCGGAGCCCCATTGTCGGAGCCCATTGGGATTGATGGAGCTGTTGTCCAGCATACAATCCCCCGAAAATGTTCAAAGATCAATCTCGAAAAAGAAGTCAAAAAATAACGATCATGCAACAAATATGGTTTTTCGTGACGAATTGACACGTCGTAAAATGTAAAAATTTAGTCACTAAAACTTTTTATATAAGTAATTTAATTACAAAGTGCTTATTTCACTCTTTCCAAAGAAATTATCTCCACCAAAAAAGTCAATTAATCGTTTACCACGCCATATATGGACTAATATTTTTTTAGTTCATTCTTTTATTATATCAACAACTTTGTGAACACATTTACTATTGAAAATTTTTAATAGACAAGCGAAATTTGCCACTACAAAATGATTAAATCAATAAAAACAATATTCAAAATTACACCCTTATTTTCTATTAAAACAAAACAAATCCAATTGTCAAAGTTATTCTACAGAATATTTTTAAAAAAAAATCCTATTTTAACAATTGTCCACCAGTATTTAAAACATCCTTTTACTCTAATAGTCATGACAACTCACCTATTGGTCTTCCGATTTTCTCTCCCCACCCCATCCTCATTCATGGTGGATGATCTATTAACAAAAAAAAAAAAGATATTAGAAAAAATTTGAATCCTCCATTCACTCACATTTTTCGATAGAAACATGAATATTTTGGCCCCAATCAAGAATGAGGGGACAATATTGATATTTAAATTATCATGCTTGTTAATGATATATTTTCCAATGTTGGAATGGGGTTGTTGTTAAAATATTGAAAATATTAAAAGGCTAGCAATAACTCTGTTTCTGAAGATATTCTATAATATTAAAAATTAAATATTAATTATATAATATTTATATTTTTAAAGTAATAATTTATTTATTTTTTATGTTTAAATAAAAAATAAGAGAGAGTAAAGAGAGATAAGAGTGAATTAATAAGATTGTTTGTTATTAAAAAGTGTTTTAATTGAGTTGTTTGACATTTGATGCCATGTAGAAAAGATAATATTTTTTAGCAAAAAAAATTTTGGGGATAAATTTTGTACCATTTGATTAAAATAAATGAAGATTTGATCAATCTCGACTATTGTTATGTTTTTATAAATTTAATATTGAAATATAGAAGGGATACAAAACAATTAATGCAAACGTTGGAGGTGTCAAGTGTCATTGTAATGATGCAAAAGATTTTTTTGATAAAAAACACGGACACCTGTTTTGGTAATATTACATGGACACCCTTGATTTTTTACAAATAACATGGAGACATCTTGAAGTTTGTAACTCATTGCACGGAGACCTTTTCCGTCTTCCATCCATCAATGTTGGTAACGAAAAATGATGATTTTATTTCAAAAAAAATTATTATCTTCATAATTGCCCTTCTCCAAATTTAGTACCTAAAAAAATTGAAAATTCAATAAAATCAAACAAATTTTGATTTAGTACCAAAAAAATTGATTAAATTAATTTCAATATTAATTTAATAAAATTAAATATAAATTAGATAAAATTAAATGTTAATTTGATAAAATTATATATTAATTTACAATCTAAGATTCAGTTTTTATTGAATATTATTTGGTGTTGATTAAACCAACACAAAATTGACCTTAAATTATAATTTTTTTAGTATATAAACGTAAAAATTTATATTTTAACCTATAAAATTTAAATACATATTTTTTTTATAGCATTGCATCCTCTCTCTTAGAGCATCTCTAACCCACTAGCTAAATCTTCATTTTTAACTAATTCGGCGAGGCTTGCTCGAAAAAACTATTCCAATCGGCTCGTTATCTTTCTAGCTAAAATTTAGGAGATCTTTGTTGCTCGCTAGATCTGGAGAGGACAAGAAACTCACCAAACTGCTCGCCTCTGTCTTTATCGTCTTCTCCAAGGATTAGTCCAAATAATCTTCTTCATCTCCCACCCCCCGGCTACAAATCTCCTCCCTCAATTTCCAAACACACCTCCCCCTACCCTCCCCCGAAACCCATTCTAAAAAACCCCTTTCCCCCCCCCCCCCATTCTAAAAACCCTCTTATCTTAAACTCAAAATTTGAAAACTCCCTATCCCAAATTTCGAAAACCCTTTTGTATAATAAAATATTAATTTTAGACCTTTATCAAAATATTAATGTAAGTATTTGTGAAAATTTTAAATTATATTATTAGGCTACGTGATATTTTTGAATTATATTATTGAAAGTTTGTTAAAATTAGTTGTATTAGTTAACTAAAATAAAGAGCGTGGTTGGAGTGAATTTAAAAAGTGACTAACTAAAATAAAGAATACAATATTTAAATATATTTTGACTAGATATTTTGCTCAACAGAATTAGAGTTGCTCTTACTATATCATTTGATAAACTTTCTTGTGGTCAAGATTCGATCACACGTACTTAAACTAAATCAATCATTCACTTTCACTTTTTTATTTTAAAAGAATCGTTCATCTCTATTTGGTAAATCCAAAAGCCTTTGGTTTACGGGGGAAAATAAATTAAAATAATATTTAGTTTTATGAAATAGACATTTAATTTTATAAAATTAATATTCAACTTTATCAAATTATTTCAAATTAATTTTTATAGTTATCAAATTAATATTAATAATTTATTTAATCAATTTTTTGGATACTAAATCAAATTTTGTTTGATTTTATTAAAATTTTAATTTATTTTTAATTTTTTCTGTACTAAATTTAGAGAAGAGCAATTGTAAAAATAATAAAATTTTTTGAGATAAAATTATTACTTTCAGTTAATAACATTGACGAAAGGGGTTCATGAGTTTCAAACCTCAGTAGTTTTTGTGTTACTTATAAAATATTAAAAGGTATCCATATAATATTATCAAAATTCAGGTGGCTGAGTTTTTTACCCATTTTTTTGTCTTTTAAATAAGTCGCGGGAAAAGCTTGAAAACAAGAAATGGAAATTCAGGAGAATTTTTACGCCCTAGAAAATCAAAAACATTTGAATAAAATAAATAAACCGACTATTCATGACAGCTTGCACCCTCTCTCTCTCTCTCTCTCTCTCTTGAAACCCATTAGTGCCGGCCCAAATTCTCTCTCTCATGAATTCCTGTCAACGGAAAATTGGTGTGATCTCCCCAATCAATTAGAGAACAAGATCGACATTGAGCAGAACCAGAAATGAGTGTGATCGACATTTTAACTCGAGTCGACTCGATCTGCAAGAAATACGACAAATACGACGTCGACAAGCAGAAAGACCAAAATGTCTCCGGTGACGACGCCTTCGCTCGTCTATACTCCGCCGTCGAAGACGAAATCGATGCCGCTCTTCAGGTCAGTCTCGATCTCAGCTTCAACTTGTCTTATTTTTAGGTTTTTTGATTTGATTTTAGAATTGAATTCAAATATTTTGTTTTTTCAGAAAGCTGAGGCAGCCTCTAAGGAGAAGAATAGGGCATCTGTAGTGGCGATTAATGCGGAGATTCGTCGCACCAAGGCCAGGTTGGTAGAGGAGGTCCCTAAATTGCAGAGATTGGCCATGAAAAAGGTTTCATTCCTTCCAATTCCTATTGATATTCATTTGAAGCGTGTATATAGTTGTGTGTTTTATTTTAATTGTAGCTAAGTCTTGTAATTTCTGGTTTCATTGCTTTTGGAATCTCTTTGTTTTTGGATGCTTGTTATGATTTTTGTGAGATCACACCTAACCACGTTTGGTTATTGCAATTTTTTTTTCAAATTAGGAAGGTAGACTTTTTGTTCGAATCAATTTTGGTGAGATATGGGGTTAAACAACAAGTAATTAATGTAATAGAATTGTGAAGTTATTATATCTACACATTTTTGTTATTCAATTCATGATGGAAAATTTTTTCAAACCCATTTCTCAGTCCATCCCTTCCAATACCAAATTGACTGGGATGGGCACTGGGAGCAAGATCGGGTAATGCTAGTTCTCATGCGCCGTAACCTAAAATGGTATCACTCAAAAGTACTAATTTAGTTTTTATGTACAAGTTTTGCTAACATATCTTTTTCAATTGATAATATCGCTAATTCAATTAATTTTTCTTGTTACGTAATTGACCTCACGTAAGATATCAAACAAAATAATCAAAAAAACAAACACAATCAAACAATCCGTAGTTAAAACATATAATACAACCTTTTAATTAAAAAAACTCCAGAGTTATAGAGAGTGGGCATGTTACGAGAGAGAGAGAGAGAGAGAGAGAGAGAGAGAGAGAGAGAGTATAGTGAATGTGTTTAGGTATAGCTTTTGTTTTGTTTTTTCCTAGAGAGATAGAGAGAGAAAAAAAGAGGGTGAAAATGAGAGGGAGCTGGTGACTTTTCATTTTATTTGTTTTTGGCGGGAGAGAGAGATTGTGAGTAAGTGTTAGTAAATGAGATGACCTATTAGTTTTTAATGTTAGTTTTCTTTTTCTTTTTTTTAACTTTTGACTTTTTGGGTTTTGAGTGTTATGAGCTGGACTATGGGACCAAATGATTGAATTTAAAATTTTTGGATTGGACTTATATTTTTTAGTGCCTTTTGTAAGGCTTAAAAGTTTCATAAATTTAAATTTTGAATATAGACAAATTATGTACCCAAAAATTTGGGGCATTTTCCTTATGAGTGGGGTCTAAAGCCTAGGCTTTACCAGCCTTATGGTTGGGCCGGCCCTGTTGGGAAGAGCTCTATGGATCCTCATTACAATTTTACTTCAGTATTAGGAATTACAATAGTGCATAGGAGTACTTGTAATTGTTTGGTTTGAAAGGGAAATATCTCTAGGATACAACATTTTATTGGACTTGAATGTGCCGTACCTTTATTAACTCTTCAAGCTACCTTTATTAACTCTTCAAGCTATAGCAAATAGTCCAAAATTATTTGCCAAAGTGGACCTTCTTTTATCTAAAGGAGTTATTCTTTTTTCAGAGTTTAACTATCCATAGCAGTCATCTCTATTCTACTTAGCTATTTGGCAATTCCTTTTGGATAACATCTTGTTTTTGTTGATCTCAGTATTGGTGTTCTTTAATGGATTGTCATTTAAAACTTCTCCTATTGGACTTCTTATGTCCTGATATGGATCAGGTTATAAAAATTCCTTTTAGGTGGTCTTTGAGCTGCTGGCCAATCAAACAGATACAAACTACAATTGACACTCAGTGTTAACAATATCTCTATGTGTGATTCATTGAGAAATCTTGGAAGCAAATTAAATATCCTGAATAACTGATTTCATGATGGAAGGGCCAACAAAGTAAGGCCGATGGAACTGATGTTTTTTTTCATTTAGACTCAAAAGGATGAACGTAATGCTAAAATTGGGTTTAGGAGTTTGGACCAAGGTTAAGTGATTGTTTCTCGGGAATGACAGCTTGTTCCTTCATCTGATGTTGCAGAGGAATATTACCAAAATGAAATTTGCAGACTGAGGATGCTATTTAAATAAATTTGCTTATTCTGAACAACAATGACTTACCTCTACCATGTTTCTTGATCATTGTCTTCTAGGCACTGGCATCTGTTTCTGATCAGGCTATGTTTGCAATGGTTTCTATTTTTTGTGGTTTTCTTCCTAATTTTTGGTTTGCTGCATAGTGTTCCTAAATACTTTGGACTGACTTTTGCAGTGGTAATGTATTATATTTACAGGTCAAAGGGCTTTCGACAGAAGAATTTGCTGCCCGCAATGATTTGGTTCTTGCACTACCTGATAGGATTCAAGCCATACCAGATGGGGCTGCAGGTGCACCTAAACAAACTGGAGGCTGGACAGCTTCAGCTTCTCGTACAGAAATCAAGTTCGATTCAGGTGATTGGTTCACTTGGTTCACTGATAGAAATTTTTACTTTCACCTATTTTGTTGTTCACTATGGGTCCCCCTTGTATCATAGATGGACGGTTTGATGATGAATATTTCCAGCAAACCGAAGAGTCAAGTCAATTTAGGCAAGAGTATGAGATGCGGAAAATGAAACAGGCATGTGTTTGTTTGTAAATGTGTATTGTTTATTTGGCTTGCTTCTGATTGGAGCAAGCATGCATGTCTTTGTAGTTATTTATATTGCATTCTTTGCTGTGGTTTCTGCATTTGCTCTATGATTATCTTTGATGGTATGCAGGACCAAGGTTTGGATGTCATAGCAGAAGGTTTGGATACATTGAAAAACATGGCCCATGATATGAACGAGGTTTGCTGTGTTATGCTTTGCTATCTGTTGCTTGGCAGTATAAATGGATGCTAATTCATGATGTTATGCAATGCTTGCAGGAATTGGATAGGCAAGTTCCTTTGATGGATGAGATTGACACTAAGGTCAGAGAATTTAACTTGTCCTCGTAATGTGTTTTGGAACACCATTTCATACATGGAACCCTCCCCTGCTTAATTATTTGCTGCAGCAAGATTTGTGAAAGTATTCACAGCTTGTTGCTTCACGTCTTACAGGTGGACAGGGCAACATCTGACCTAAAGAATACCAATGTTAGACTTAAGGACACTGTTAACCAGGTGATTGTACTGCGATGGATTTAACTCAGATTTCCTTTTTCTATGTAGCTTTACTCAAGCATATTTGTATACTGGGAATAATAGAGTCATGGTGTTGTTTCAGCTGAGATCGAGTCGAAATTTCTGCATCGATATTATCTTGTTGTGTATAATACTGGGCATCGCGGCCTATTTATACAAGTAAGTTCAATATCTCTCTTAATGTCTAGAAGAAGGTTTATTAAAGTTTTTGGAACCCTCCCCTACTTAATGTGTTTTGGAACACCATTTCATACATGGAAGGGTAAATAGCAAAATAATCGAAGAAGCATTCTGATCTTGTCTTGTGTTTTTTTGGGTGGGTTGTGATCTTCTTCATGGTCAGGTTGGCTTTAGTTTTTAATCTCACTTTTGAATCTTTTCAAAGTTTCTCATAACACAGTCAACTTCCATGCTTGTTTCGGTGTTCATTTTGTTTCCGTTTTTATTTGCAGTGTATTGAAGTAAAATGGTAAAATGGGCTATCGGATCTGTTACTGTGACAGTGGATTTGTCTGGTTTATTTCTTGCGTTCATTGAGGTCTTACTCTGAGCTTGAGTTTTGGTTTCCTTTGCTCTTCTAATGTTTTGCATGTCTTTAACTTGGAGAGTGCACTTTTGTCTTTTAAATACAAACATGGATACAACACGTCTCTGTTAATCATCTTGATTTTGCTGAGCTACAAATCGCTGAACACCACTTTTAGAGATTGGTTACTTGTTTAAAATTTGTTGATATAAGCTGAAAGACTTTCAGCAAAATTAAATTGTATTCACAGACAAATGATAACATCGGAAAAACTTTGGACAGCGAATCTCTTCACATTTCCAGGTTAGGATTGACATTGAAGCATGGCTTTGTCTACCCGTGGAAGTAAGTATTAATAGTGTCCCATTGGATCTACTCATTTTTGAAACGGGTGGCTTAAGGAAGAATCAATCTATCTAATTTCGTGTCGTGTTTATGTCATGTTAACGTGTCGCGTTATATTTTAACACCCTTACTTATAGTGGCTTGCTTGCTAAATAATTCAAATGACGTTCGCACTTTTTTATGGCTTCTTTGTTGAACCGTGATTTTGTAAAAGGTCATAAATTTAGAGGTTGTAAATGGGTTGGATTGGTTATGGGTTAGGTTAAAATAAATTTAATTTATTTTTCACTTGTATTAATAAATTTAATAAAAAAAAACACAAACATAATGGGTTGGGTTGACTGTGGGCCATGGGTCAGTTTGTGGGTTGACCATGGGTCACAGGTCATGGACTGGGTCACTGGGCACAGGTTGACCCATGGGTCACAAGTGCTCTATTAGTGTGTGTATTTTTGGTATGTTAGTATATGTGTTTTGATGTATTAGTATATATTTTTTAGTGTATTAGTGTGTGTGTGATATTTATTTAATTTTATTATTTATGTTATTTAATAGAAAGATGAATAATCAATTCAATGGATATTTATTTATAATTCATATTAATTCGTTTAATTAAAATAAATTATATTATCTAACTTATTTAAAATTTGCATTAATTAATATAAGTATTCAATCTATTTATTTATGGACGGGTTGGACGGATTAATGAATAAGATTAATTGTCACCTCTAGTCATAATAAAAGTTTTTTTTCCTAGTTTGGTCAGCCTTTGGCTCATTGCTCAAAGTGATTGTCCTCTTTATATCCATATTACAACAATAATCTTATCAGATGAAATTGGGTAATTTAGTGCACCACCTTTTTGTTACTATTAGTTAACACACATGTGCGTTGTACATAGATTATTTTAAGTATCAAAAAGTTTTCTTTGGTGATAAATATTATGGAGAAATTTATTATTCATGTCCTCATGAAATAAGAATACACGAGATCATAAACTATGTTTTGCCAGAAAAAAAGAAGAAAACATACAATTCAAGAATGTGAAAACTATTCTTTTTTTTTTTTTGAAGAGGAGTAGGAGAACTATTCAAAACAATATTTATGTTACATTGACAAATATGTTTTAAAATCATCATTTTAATTCTGCAAAACCATTCAACACATGCAATTGTTGTATATCTTTATTGAATGCTACAATTTCATCATTCTTGTAATTCAACTGGTTGGGCTGTCGAATGTAACACACATAACACTTGGTGTCGCATTCTTCCGAATAGCCTTGGCTAATAAAGAGCCAGAGGATCTGAATCCCCTTCAAATGCAGATAAATAATACAAATGCAAATACTTTGATTCAGTTGAAGTCTACGTTAGCTTTTTAAGTGTAGAACATAGAATAGGAGTTCCAAAGCTGTTCAAAACTCTCACTTAAACTATACTTTTTTTTTTATATATTTTTTTATAGCTAATAGAATATCATGATGAGGTTTTCTTGAATCAACTGGTATCTAGACAGACCAATTCATGTACATTCAATGTCCTGAAATACTAAGAATCTTTGTTAAAACTTAAAAATGGTTGCAATGTGATTACAAGAGTCACATCAATTTAGCTTCGTTGTGTAATTTCTTACACAATGAAAGAAAGAAAAAAAAAACACACCAAGGCTTTAACACTTTTAAGACCAATATTCAACACTAAGAAACAGTAAGCCATATGCTATCTTACTGAGCGAGCCACTGCAAAACTTTTTCTATAGTAACGTCAAAAGATACACACAAATCTTGACTACCCAAATCATCGTTGCCTTGGTAATGGTCTCATTCATTCTCCGCAATTGTTACATAATTCTTCCCTTGATCTGCTGAGTACCCTAAGCAACATGAGAAAAGTTCAAAATAAAATTTAAAATCTGAAACCTCATCAAAAAATCCTAGACCTGCAATTGGTTGCCAATAGACCAAACAGAATTCTAAAAACAATAAAATTTTTGAGCACCAATTTTAGAAAAACTTACCTCCACAATTTGACATAGCTCTTGATGATGACAAACGAAGAATGAAGCCAGCAATTGCAAGAAACAAAAACCAAGATAGCAATTGCAGAAGACTCAAAATATTCACCTCTGAGAACCTTGACAAACCCTTTTTCTTCAAAATGTGAGATGAGAAACATCACAGAAAGGAAAAGGGAAATGAAAATATTTAACAGAGCTTTATCTTATGATAGCCCTAGTCAACAACTAACTAAGACCATTAGTTTTAACAATGGCATCAGGCACTTAAACAACCCATTGTACTTGTACATGTCGTCGTTGGCAAATGTTATTACTACAGCCTTTACGTTCAAATAACACTCCTTTGCGTTCCTATGACAAGAATAATTGACATGATACGGTGGTTGGCACTAGAGGTGACAAAATTAACCAATTACCCCTTAATTTGTTCAACCCGCCTATAAATAAATAGATTGGATACCTATATTAATTAATACGGGTTCCAAATGGTTTGAATAATATGATTTATTTTAATTAAACGGGTTAATATAGATTATAAATGGATACTCATTGTGTTGAGTATTTATCTTTTGATTAAATAACACAAGTAATAAAATTAAATAAATATACTAATGTACTAAAAAATATACACACTATTACACCAAAAAATATAAATATATATACTAATATACTAAAACATACACACACTAGTACATCAAAAAACACACACACTCATACACCACCCATTACATGCGGGTTGATCCATGATCCACGACCCTCGCCCATGCCATGACCCATTGGTCGTCCCATGACCCGTGACCCACGAGATGACCCATGACCCACAGACCAACCCATAACCCACAATTGACCCCGACCTATTATGTGTGTATTTTTTTTATATTAAAGGTGTTTTAGTTTTTGTGTTAGTCTATATGTGTGTATTTTTTAGGTATTAGTGTATATTTTAGTGTATTAGTATGTATATTTTTAGTGTATTAGTTTGTATGTGTTTTGGTATATTAGTGTGTGTGTATGTTTGCATTTTGGTGTACTACTAATGTATGTGTGTATTGGTGTACTAATGTGTCTATTAAAAATTTTAATTATTTTATAGGTTAATGAGTTTAACTTAACCCGTTATAAACTCAACCAATTATAACTCATTTACTATGTGAGTGAAAAATAAATTGAATTTATTTTAGCCCAATCCAATTTAATCAAACACATAGCCGACCCAATCTAACATTATTGGCATGTGGATCATAGTTCCTCACCTACCATGGAGACAAAGAAAAGATTTAATGAGATACACACAGAACCCGCTTTGACTTCTTTCGGTTTTGTGGAGGAAAGATGGGAAGAGAACGGAGAACACAAAATCAACAACAAAAGTAACTACGTGATAGAGACGAACATGATGAGGCCTATTAAGATTAACATCAAATAATCGAACTCAAATGCAAGCAACAAGAAGAAAAATCAGAATGACCAAACAAACATACCTAATTCTTCTTCATTGGATTTGATTCATGAATCTCTTTCAATCTTAGGATTAGAATTTGTGCCGATTCAATAAGAACCTCAATTTGATGTTAATCATCCAAGCATATTGTTGTGTGTGAGAGAGAGAGAGACTTGTAGTAGTGGGCAATAGAGAGAGAGAGGGAGAGAGAGACAATCAAAGAGGTGAAGGAAGAAACCTGCAGTGTATAAAGTGAAGCAACTCCCGTGGAAATGAAAACTGACCTAACTGTTGTATTGAAGTGTAAAGGAAAAAAAAATAAAAGTTTTGAAGGAGAACATGAATGGATGACCGAAAAGATGGGTTTTGATTATTGGAATACAAAAGAACAAGAAATTGTGATTAGTAATTTACTCTATTTATTTTCTTTGATTACTATATTAACTTCAATTTATTAAAAATATAAAGTGTGGTGACTGTTGAGTTGACAAAGGAAGGAGATAAAAGGTCATTGCTCCTACTTGTTTTTGATCCAATAATACTCCTTACTTTGTGAAAGTTTTATTTTCTTGAAGTCAATGGTTCAAGCCTTTTTCCCCCTCCCCCAAAAAAAAAATTAAAAAAAAAATATTTATGGTAGTTTGAATAATTAAGAAATATTAGAGGGTAAAAAAGAAAATTAATTTTTTTTTAAAAGTTGTGTACATTTAGTAGTATATAGATAGATTAACAATTGTCTGTACTTGAAGGCACGGTATTACTCATAAATTAGTTATAAATATTTGTCTATACATAAATGTAAAATAAAATACAATATTGTAGTGAACGGTAAACAAGATGAGTCCGCTAATATTTTTTATAATATCAATTTACATGCATAACATATCTTTCCACATTAAATTGTTACGTCACGAAAATTATGTTATAACTATTGAAACATAATAATTCAAACATCTGAAAAAAATATATCAGTTGAAAATATTCAATGTTATGTTTTCGATTTAAAATCTACGATTTTAACATTCATAATCAACTTTATCTAAATAATAACATAATTCATAACTAATAGAATGAAAATTAAAACAATACTCTCATAAATGAACTAAGTCTACCGATGTTGTCAAATGACTAAATATAACTATCAGAGGTTCAACCGACTTCCAAAAGATACGACCTGACTATTGAATTTGTATGATTTAAATTTATAGTAGTGTTTTTAATTTTATATTATTCTTCTTGATTATTTATATTTTTAGTATATTTTCTTAAACTAAACTTTATTTAGTATTGGATTTTTAGTAAAGTTTGTTGCTTCGTGTTGTTCACTAAATATTGAATTTGTATGATTTGTGTTCATAATATTGTTTATAATTTTGTATTATTTCTTTCGTTTATAATTTTATATCATTTTTCCCAAGTATTTAGATTTAGATTATTTAGTAAATATTGTTGTTTTGTGTTATTCACTAAATATTAAATTTGTATGATTCGTGTTTGTATATGAATTTAATATCGTATATTT